TGTAGAGAGTGTGACAAGTGAATTAGGGAAACCAAATCATCCAGCACTGGTAATATTTGATAGGTTTAAAGCTCAAGGTACTGAAAGGATATAGACACTTTTAAGAAACTACAACATACACATCGTTGTTGTTCCAGCAAACTGCACTTATCGGCTACAGCCTTTATGTTAGTTTAAATAAAGCAGCAAAAGATTTTTTCCATCAACAGTTTCAATCATTGTATTCTGACAATTTATGTAAAAACATTGGAGAGGGTAGGAAAATGGATGTAATTGCATAGGCGTAGGAATGGGGGGGGACTGCAGCCCCCCAACTTTTCAGCAAGAGGGGCTTAGCCCCCCAATGTTCACATGCTAAGTCATACTTTTTAATGTTGAGCCCCCCCAACTTTTGAATCATTCCTACGCCTATGAATTGATCTCAAAATGAGCACAGTCAAGCCTTTAAGTGCTAAGTGGATGATAGCATGGTACAATTACATAAAAACCAAACCAGAGATTGTGGCAAATGGATTTAAAGGAGCTGGAATAATTAATGAACATTCACTCAATAATAGTAATTTTATTTACATGCATGCATACATAATTAAATTTTAAATTGTGACTGAATAACAATTAATGTTTATTGCAATGGTAAACTAGTCATTTCTTTGTCCTCAAAACATTTTGACAAGTGATGCTGCGTTTCTGTGATCTTGCATTTAATGAATAATGGATTTTGATTAAAAGCAATAGCTGTTGCATTGGCTATTGCAAACAATCCACAGTCAATAAAGTTGCTTTGCTTTTGTGGACTTTCCACTATTAGAGATGAGTAATTAATTTTTTTTAGTAGCTGCATAGTGCCCTCATCAGCTGCATCATACAATGAATCATATACAATTACTTGATCCTCCTGAGAGCTTATATTTTATGCCAAGATCCTCTAGTGTGTAAAATTACCATCCCACAACTAATTTTCTTATCACCTTTATGTTGATAATAAGAATAAGTAAGTCCTTCAATTGAAGGGAATTGAAGTCTAAGAAGCCATTGAGCGAAGTTAATATGTTTATCAGTAAGCATACGATCCTGCTGAAGAATTAACTTGTCATCTAAAGAGACACTAATTATTCTGCAACGGGTCACTTCCAAAGACACCCATATGTGTTCAGTTGTGTTGTTGGTAGTTGTGGCATTATAGACAATATTTTTGTCAGCCCAAAGCTTTTTGCTTTGTGATGTTTCTTCTGTTGGCAATGAGTTTAATGAATGTGCAGCAGCTGGGACTTGATTGATAAGGACAGCTTCCTTGCATAACTTGCTTACCTTACTACATTCTTCCTTACTTGAAGTAGTAAAGGTGTAAATACAAGGCAGCTTCATTCCTCCTTGTGGTAGATCCTAAGAATAGCGTTGACTCCCTGTTACTTCATAATGCATTTTACCTCCTCTTTGTAACAAGAGGCTACAAAGATAAGACAAGTGACCGACAACTATTCCATCCTTTCTAACTGCTACTGCATATAGGTCATGAACATTTCCTGGCTCCTGGCTACAAGGTAATACTTCTCCAAGATTAGGACTCCAGATATGTTGGTAAATGTGGTATCCTCTTACACAGGAGCTGACTGAATAGTTCTGTTGCTGCTCCATTACTAACCACGTGTGGATTAATTAGTGTAGGTGTTGCTTGATTATATTAGTTAATTAATTGGTAATCATATTAATAATTATAGTAATTTGTGAATTTATTTTCCGTGAATATTTAAATTAAGACTTTTTTTGCGAAAATTTTAGGCTATACTGTATTAAAGTTCTAGATTATGAGCTTGCTCACTTTTTCAAAGCTCTACTTAGTGAGTAAATGCAACTGATGTTTATGAGACATCTTGCCTACAGCAGCCAAATCAGATAAAAATGTTTATAATTCATCTATATGTATTTTATAATCATCATGTGCTGTGGTTTTAGCTACTATAGAGCAGTTAGACACCCTCACTATATAACTATAATAATACACTATATACATGTATGCGTATTTTATAATAGTCTCTCTTCAATTTTAGATTTTCATAATATTGAAGTTGAGTATTCTTGAGTTGCTCTCAATACAGTGTTGTTGGGCTACATTGGATGAATTGAACCCACTCCAAAAGATGCTCCCCTAAAGTTCCTCTTATCTTGAGCATTTTTTCAATTAGTGCTCAACTGTATCAACTTTACAAATCTTCCTCTGTTGCAATTCAGGTATATTAGCACTAAATTTTGCTTTATATGCATGTGCCACCATTAAATTATATAGCAAGTAACTTAACTTCACTAAAGTCAGATCTTCTCCAATCTCCTAATTTTAATTGCAAGTGTTGTTAATATGATTGGCTATCAAACTACCATATAAGTGGTTATTTTCGAGGGTTGCAAATTTTGCAGATTTCTTTCTGATTTGCAAAAATAAAATTCGCAAAAAGCAATTAAATACAGTACCTGCATGGCACACATGATAGAATTTGTGAATTTAAAATCTGTGATTTGGAATTTTAGTAGATTTTGCAAAAAAATAAGACCCATAAAAATTACCAGCTATACAGTATCAATTTCGCCAAAGAGCAATTTCCTCAAAATTTTACCTTTAAATATAAAGTGAATTTTTGACACAATTTAAACATTTTGTATAATGTAAAGAGACCAATAATTTCCCATTGCCATGCCATTTTTTATGAAGCAAAAAGTACATGCAGGGTCATTTTGGAAATGTTTCCTTTGGTAATTCATGCTTTCTTCTTTATAGGCTAATTAAGTTCATGAGTGCTAAACAAGTTCTATCTGATATGCACAACTTATGTCTATAAGATTCAGTGGATTAATCTTTTTATTATCTTTCATCCCCGAAACTGTTTGGACTAAGACCAGATGCAATGAACTAAACTCAAGTAGTCAGTTTAATTGATATTGTCATTTAAAAACTTCCAAAAAGTATAATTAATTTTGTCACAAATAATTTCTGTCATGAGTTGTGCTTAGTCACTTTTCCCCAAGTTTTGAATATTTTACCTGATTCTGAAGAAAGAGATACCTGTATATTCATTAAATATACTATTATTGTTATTGTAACTACTAATATGATACTCTTCTGTTAATGTATTTTGAATTATATTAAAATGCTGTTCATTTACTACCTCATTCTATCTAAAAGATGAAAGTATTAAGTGTATGTAAGTACAGGGGAACAGTAATCTACGAAATTAGTTCTACCAGACATATGAACTGTGAAATATTTGGAATTAGACCACAGGAATAGAACTGTGGTAAATGTACATGTACATCATACAAGCAAAGAATATTGAGTGGTAATTAGTGGGTAAAACTAGCAAAAATGAACAACATGCAAATGAGATAATGAAAACAATAACTCGAAAAATTAATAAAATGCATTGGTTGCCTGTTTTTGTGAAAATTCAAAAAATTATAAAAAACAATTAGTACTTCCAGACTACTCTGTCTTGTATAAGGTTATAGTTAGGGTAAGTATTGAGACAAGTCTCTTTGTGTTGTTTGTCTAGCTTGAGCCTTGTTATATTTTTATTATTTAATACTGAATGGAGAACGAGTAGTATTGACTTCGTAGACAATGAAGTACCTCTTAGATTTAGTTCAACCAGTGATGAGTTATTGAGGAGTAGGTGAGAAAGAGCTTGTCCACTAGTAGAAGTAATGAGAGGATTATAAGAAAGATCTAGTGAGATAAGTGTAGAGTTGTTTTCAAGTGTTTGACAGATATTAATAACTCCTCTATCGCTGATGGAATCATACCTAATGTCTAGTTCTTGTATTGTTTTATTATTAGTTAGTAGTATACACAAGTACTGGATACAATCGTTAGTTAATGGAGTGTACCATATATCAAAACTCCTCAAGTGTAATGTTTGCAGTGTAGCTGATGATAGTAGAGATACTGTACTATTGGTAGATGAGTAACGGAGTTCAATCCTTTTATGAAAATTACTAATAATGCTAATTACTTCACTACACTGAACTGGAGATGGAGATGTAAGAGATAGCCAGTCATAGTACCAGTTGACACTCCCAGTGACTCCTAAGAAAAACTAAAGGATTATACTTATATGCATGCACTTAGATACTAATCACATTTATTTTTGCATCATGTGAACATAAACATAACATCATGTGGTGCCAGACTACCGTCCAGCAACTCTCATCATTATACAAACAGAGAATACTTTAGACATTAACATGTTCATGTGTACATTATTATATAATTCATAGCAACAATTAGCATAATGATACTGACTGTCACAATAATCACAATTACTGAATAACTGGTTTTGTTAATTTGCTGGAATCTATGTGAGCACAAATTAAAACGGCAGTAATCTTGCCTACTCTAATTCAATGCGTATGCATTGCTGTGTGTGCGTCAATTATTAGTCCGCCAATAGTATGTATTTTCATCCTCTGATAAAACTAGCTGTATGGTATTACCTTGATCATATTGTTCCTTGTCTTGTCTCAGTGCAAATATCACTATAGGATCATCATTTATAGTCTCCAAGAAAAGAGAAGCTTTCTCATCATTACTAGATGATTCATTCCTTAACTTCTGTAGAACAGGAAGGGATACTTCTTCCACTGACAGTATAAACTCTAACAACTGAAGAGTCTCTAACATTGAGTAAACACAACTACTAGGAATGAGTCCATCAACACCGGACGCCAGGGATCTTCCTCTCCACCAAAAACTGTTCAACTTTTTATAAATTTCTAGCTGCTCTCCTTTAGTGAATGAAAGATCATCACTATCAATGGGATGATAGTCATAACGAGCAGTGTAAATGCATGTAGATTCTGCTGTTGATGATTGTGTACACTGATCATTTTCTATACAATACAATTATATCAATCAGTTAGCAATATAAATCTAAATACAACATACTGTACATGTTTGTCTTTTGACTGATCAACAGCTGTGTTATTGATATATTTTCCTGTAGTAACTCAATCTCTTTTCTATACTGAAATAATGCCTCCTCTCTTCCTGTGATGAGGTAATATAGATAAATTTCCGTTTAGATTCAGTACCTGCTTTCATTAGGAGAGAAGTTCGGAAATACTGAGTCTCTGATTTCTTTGATTTGAATACTTCATTTATCAACTTCCCTCTAGTCAGTAGCTTCACTTTTAGTTTAGGCTCTACAGCAAATGACACAATAAAAATATTAATTAAATAGATAATTATTATGACTACAATACCTGGAGTCTGTAGTGTCCTTTCAATATGCTCTATGCAAGACAAATAATTATCTTCTCATCAATCAATAACTATAAATGTATACCTTCTCTTTGATTGATGACACTCTCCTGTTCAATAGTTATGGATCCTACATACCATTAGTATATCACTAATTGAGTTACAGAACAACTCACACACCTTTGTAATCAAGTAAAGTCATGAGTTCTAGTTCCTGTCCATCAGCTAGTTTCATCTCCTCTACAAGACACTCATTATTCATTACCTATAATTAGTACATAATAGAGCTGAAACGGATGTGGTATTTCACTATCCGGATATCCTGTTGAAATTTTTTTCGGATATTTGCCGGATAGTTAATTAATAAAAGTTAATTAGTTAGTGACTGCAGACATCAAAAAAGCAAAGTTTTTATTCCCCAGGATGTTATTCTTGTACATTTCTGGTAGTTAAGAAGCTCAAAAATGATTAAGAAGTGGCTGATGAGGTTGGTAGCTTCAAGAACTTACTCTTTTATTGCTGGTCATTAACTGACAGAATTGCATTAATTAGTTATAAAGTCTAGTTATTAAGTTTAATTATCCTATTTGTCAAAAATTACTATCCGGATACTAAATTTATAAACGGATATCCGGATAATCAGGATATCTGTTTCAGCTCTAGTACATAATATTAAACAAGGTCTCAAACAGTTACAGTATCTTATACCTTGCATCTGATCCTTTCATCATAGACAGTGTAGTGGCCAATGGTTAGTCTAACTAAAGTGAATTCCTTTATTAAGACAGTTAGGTTGTCTTGTGCTTCAAAGAGAAGAGCAGCTAGTAGATGATGTGGTGCATAACAAATGATAACAATAGAGTTGACAGGACAGGTCACTTTAACAATCAGTCTCTTGTTCAAGTCAGTAAATGCTTTTTTTAACAAACGTCTAATATCATCCAGTGAGTGCTGATCAGGTGTCCAATCCAATACAAACTGAACTGTCTCACACTTTAGTGAACTGATGTCAGCTGATAGTTTCTTATTCAGCAAGAAGTCCAGAGAAATTTTCGAACAAAATTCATTCACTTCTTCCTTGTATTCTACTATCAGTTGTTTAGCTTCACTTATGTTGTAGAATATTGCAATGTTCTCCACTGCTGAAATATTTATGACGTTGCATTTAGTTAATACAATCGTCATTGCATTTTGTACAGAATCAGCAGAGGAGAGCTGTGAATCAAGCTCTGGAAAACACTGTCGAAGAAATATTAGGAAAGTAATGAGTATTGAAACTTTTTTGGAAACTATTTGAAGAATTCTAAAACAAAATATTCCAAATTTTCCTCTCATTGCATCAAAAGGATACTGATGGACTGCTTCACACATGTGAAATACTTCAACTATAATCAGTCTATATTTTTAAATATTAATTATGATTTAATTTTATACCTGATCCAATTGATCCTGTAGCATTACTGGTTGATATGACTGCAATATCTATAAAATATATAGTTTTAATTATCATCAAATGCAATAATGACCTGTATGAGCTCTTGGTACAGCTAATTCTGTAGATTGATTGGAGAATAAATTAGTATTCACTGTTGTACCAGTAACAACAGCTGTAGTCACAGATCTGTTAATCATTTCATCTATTATAAAACAAAATAATACAGTAATCTTATTACTGTTTTACTTACCATAATCTTTAATAATATCTTGGCCTAAAGGTTTAGTTTCTTCTAATTCCATTAATATATTTCCTAGTGACCTTAGCTTACTGTGATCATCAGATACAGCAATCATTAATACTCTTAATGTATCACCTAATGAGCCACCACATCTCTCAATCTTCCTTTGTGTATCCTCAGTGATTAATCCTTCTGTATATAACAACTGGATACAACTATCTGTGAGAGATACTTGTGATATTCTATCACTGTAATGCTGGAATATCTGACTAGCAGGATCATCATCTATAAGTTATACATAGATCTGAAAACTTTGTGTCAATGATTCAATTAATGCTTATTGTATGTACTGTTTGTATGTGAACTTTACATGTATTACGGATGAGTGTAGCAGGGGACCAGATAAAAGCGGGAGACGGAGCGGGAGTTACGCCTATACAAGAAGTGGGAGTTGACGGAGATCAGCAAACAACCTGAGCCTGCATGTATTGTAAATATTAAAGTTGCAGTAGTGCTTAAGCCTTCAGTAATATTGCAGAGATATTGAAAGAAATTATCCAAAGAGTGGTACTTGTAAAAAAGGAACCTGCATTCCAAACTGAAGTATTCTGATCAACAGTATCCATGAAGTTTTGTCTCCCCTGAGGCCTTAGGAATATGCTGTACATCTGGAGATAAGATCTAATGAAAAATGATACAAATTTCTTTCTGTGTCAGCTGAAGAACAAAACTTTGCGTCACATTGTCTCAGAAGTTTGATGAAGTCTCCACACATGACAAAATGTAGACAAAAAACTGTCTGCAATTCTGTTCAATGGCAGCTATAAATGTCCCATCGCCAGTGAGAGGAAGGTTATG